GATTCTGAGTTCACGGGAAGTACCCTGTAGACTTTGATTCCCTTGCGAATATCGAAAATTTGCGGCATAAACTTCTGTATCTTTTGATTGTGTTGGCTTAGAAGTTTGATTAAGGAAGTTGGAATGAAGGACAGTAGATTTGAGTATTTGATATGAATTTCAGCTTGATACCTCTAAGCGTTCCTGAGAAAAAGGGCCTTGACAGACAGACAGACAGACGGACAACAAAGTGATCCTATAAGGATTCCGTTTTTTCCCTTTGAAGTATGGAACCCTAAAAATTATGTATTTTATAATTAATTATATATTTCATAAAAACAACTGACTTTAATTTTAATCGGATCTCTTGAATTTTAAGTGTGTTAAAAAAATCTGGAATATCTCATGATCAGCATGTCATTATCATATTCTTGAAACTAAGACTTATAAGCGAACAAAAAAGTTTAATTTAGATCAAATTAAATATCACTTTCCGTGTAAATAGAATTATATTTTCCCGAGTCAGTTTTGTAAAGTTTATTTTTAATCGCATTGGTTTTTATTAACCATTTTTGGCTCCAGAAAATTTGTATACGTTATTAAATTCTGACTTTATTGAACGTTTTGTAGTCTGTAAAAGTGAAAGAAAATGGCAAGAATTATTCAATTAAACTTTTTAAACAAACTTCAAAACTATTTGTTGGATGATGGGCAAAGGCGGGCTCATATTCCTGAAAAGGATTTTGTAACCGCAAAATTTGAGCAAAAAAATTGTTCGTAACCATTTCGCAGATTTATCACGTCATTGTTGTGGTTAAGTTTCACTAATATTTCATCATTATAAATATCATTTGATAGGCATATGGAACATAGTCCAACAGCCTACCAAATTATAAGATTAGTGACTAAGAAGATGTCAACATTATCAACCTAATAAATTCTACTGCTAGGCGTGGATATTGTTATATGGATTTGCCCAGGAGAAGACCACATTCTCACTAAATATCAGCGTAAATTGCAGCTTAATGCTGCTGTTTTTCATATAGTGAGTTTAAAAAACCGGAGATATTTACCGGAGTAGAGGCATTCTATGTTAGATCCCAGGATTAATAACGCATCATCATTTTGATTCTTAATTGAAGGTATAATTAAGATGTCTACGTGCTACATCATGCACTTACTATCAGGTGGATTGTGTGCACGTTTATCAACCTTATTCTAAAAAATTGAGGGATTTTCTCAATCGCCACGACACAGTGCGTAGTGCCAGACGCTTCGTAACATCGTCTTATATAAACGGGACGGTTATATTTCATTTTAATATCGAAGAAAGCGTAGATCTTTCCCGTAGTCGTATAATATGAGACTTACGAGATAAAATGGATGGATGGATTTCTTACATAGCTAAAGTACGACATAAACAATTAATATACAGAGAAATCTCTTAAATTTAAAAATAAAACTATAAAGGACAAATAAAATGTACGACGTCAAAATATGTACAGTTATACTATGTCCAGGATCTTCGATTACCAAAGTTCTTGATTAGACTAATACTTCTTGAACGCACTCAGTATACTCAATTCTTCAGCTTATTACGAGAATTCATCCGATCAACATGTTCCAAATAAATTATCAAAGTAAATAAAGTTCTGTCTTAAATAATTAATCGTTTAGAACCTATCGTAGCGTTTTTTTTAAAGAATAATGGTGCTAAACGAGCACACAGTACTTGTGATGGTAAGTGGATGCTGTGGCCCATAGATATTTACATCTGTCTCCGATTGGAATCAAAATGCAGATGCATTGTACCCTTAAAGACTAAGATGGAATGCCTTCTTTCTAGTAAAAATGGTCTCCGGTTCTCTACACTCACCATACGATACACAGCAGCATGAAGTTGCTATATTACGCTTCCGTAGTCGTTTATTATTTTCCTCAGAAGCAAACATATCTATATTTCTAAGAACTCCTTCCTGAAATTAATATCGAATACGAAAAGTTGATAAAAGAGCACTTGTTTAAAATATACCATAAACATTTCTGCACTGTGATGAAACTTTTCAGGCGGTAACGACCGTGGCGAAACTTACACACAGGATCGTATAATGTCAACTGCGCAGGCAATAGCGGATTGCCACACGTTTGCGCACTGACACTCACTTGTCTCCACCAACTCGTAGTTGATGTTTTGTGATAAACTGTGCACTAGTACTATAGATAGATATAGCTACTGAGATATTCACAATACAAATCGACAATTCATCCAGAAACTGAAAGCCAATTAATAACGTTTTTGCTCGAATATTGGTTCCAGCTTGAATTGGACTTTGCTTTTCGCTGCATTTTGCTACGACATTGGATTTAAAATTAGAGTTATATGGCTGGAGCTTGTCAGGTTGTAGCAATGAAAGAGAGATATATGGATGTAATAACGTGAAGCCATCTCACGGGATAACGTCATTAGGTAAGTCGAATCGCATGCATTCCTTTGAAATTTATACGTAAGAGGTATCTTTATAAACGGCGGTATAACCATATCGTTTACATCAGACAGTAAGTTTTCAATCGAAAGGTAACATGCAGCGATCATTATCCCACCCATCAAGAGAGGCGATTAAGGCAAATCCTCATTACAATGAGAGAGGCCCATGTTATGCAGTGGTCTTTTACATTACCATGGTCTCCACCGAAGTAAGGAATAGCGGGGCCGCCGGGGACTGGGGGCCATTTCTTTGAAGCTCTTGCCATAGTCGGCTTGTCGATAAATATAATTTCGAAGCTAAAACTTATTCAGGCGGACCAAAGACCAATATTGACTAAATTAAATATTATTTTCCGTTAAAATAGAACTTAATCACCCAAAGCAGTTATTGGCTTTTGTTAACCAGTTTCCGCTCCAGCAAATTTGTTCGCATCTAATAGGGGCTACACACGATCACTTTTAACTGTCAGTTTTGACTAACCAGTTTTAACTGGCAGTGAAAACTGACGTCCTTTGCACCCACACACGTTCAGTTTTAACTGTTCTCTTTGACTGACTCAAGATGTCATCAGCCGAAGACGACGCTTTTGCGGTGCTTGGTTTATTAATAATTTTAAAAAATAAAAATAAAAAAATATACGCAAAGAGTGGTGTAAAGAGTGGTTAAAAAAAAGGAAAATGTATTCCCATGTTAATTTATTAACCGAACTAAAAATTGTTTCGAAGGATTGGCACAACTATCTCAGAATGAGTGAAGAAATATACCTCAATCTACTATCTCTAGTGTCTCCACTGATTAGAAGAAAGGATACAGTTATGAGAAATGCTATTTCGCCACATGAGAGATTAACAGCAACGTTACGATTTCTAGCAACAGGACGGAGCTATGAAGATTTAAAGTTTTCCACAATTATTTCACCTCAAGCCCTCAGCAGCATAATACCAGACACATGTGAGGCTTTATTCAAAGTACTTTGCCCAGATTTTTTAAAGGTAAGAAAACTTCGAACATTTAATAATTGCTTTTATTATTAAGAAAATTATCAAGAGATGACTTAAAAAATTAAACCGAATGCGGTTTAGGGGCCTACGATTCATTTTGCATGTACTGCGATAATAATGAAGCCGCAGTGTTTACTTCTTGTAAAGGTATAGACATTTCAGGGATTGAAATTTATACCGCTCCTGTATTGTTGTCTAAAAGGTATGGCTGAAGTATGCTCTGTGATTCTGCAGTGTTAGAATTTATTTGTTGTATTGTTGCTCGATTCGATATTTTGTGGTCAATAGTCAATTTATCCATTTCAGCTAAGAATAGAGCTTCGTTTATAATACCTTCCGCTAAAATGCGCTGTTCTTTAGGAAGATCACGCAACTTCATTGCCACGTTTTTACCAAAAATATCGAAACGATCATCCCGCTGTACAGGACGTTTAAAATGATCCTGTACAGTTAATAAAACGTCATTGGTTAAAGTTTGATTGAGATTCCTTTTTGTCGGTCTTGGATGGTGAGGTGGTGCCGACGATGATGCTGAATTTCCTGTGTCAGATTCAGAGTGGTTTGAAGCCAAAGATGAACCTGGTATAGAGTCTAGGTCTTCATTCTGTAACAATAATACATACACAAATAATAATATAATAATATATAATGTTTTATTTTCAGTTTCCCAATACGGAACAAGATTGGAAAAATATTGCTGAAAAGTTTGAGAAGAGATGGAACTTTCCACATTGCTTAGGAGCAATAGATGGAAAGCATGTTTCAATAGCTTTACCCCCTGGATGTGGATCAGAATTTTATAATTATAAAAACCGACATAGCATGGTTTTAATGGCTATTGTGGATGCTCAATACAAGTTCATTTTGTGTGATTTTGGCACAAATGGAAGAATTTCAGATGGTGGAGTATTACGAAACACTGTATTTTTCGAAAAACTTCAAGACAGTAAATTAAACATCCCAGCCGCCGAACTAGTCAATAATAGCAACAGAAGTTTACCTTACGTATTTGTTGCTGATGATGCGTTTCCATTGAGAACAGACATGATTAAACCATTTAGACAAGCAGATCTTAATACTTATGAGAAAAAAATATACAATTATCGAGTATCAAGAGCAAGGAGAATTGTTGAGAATGCTTTTGGGATTTTAGCGTCTCGGTTCCGTATATTTCACACAGAAATAAACATCGAACCAAAAAATATTGATTCCGTTGTACTGGCATGTTGTGCTCTACACAATTACTTAACTGAAACAAACCAAGCCAATTACAGTCCTCCTGAAATTCTTGATAGGGAATTTTTTGATAACGGAACAATTATACAGGGAGTGACTTCGGCAGATTCGGACATGATAGATTTAGATAGAAGACACCAAGGAAATATAACAAATGCAGCCAAGAAAACAAGGGAAGATTTTATGAAATATTTCGTGAATGAAGAACAAGTTCCATGGCAGGATAATTTTATTCGTTAATGTTTTTGTAATAGTCTAATATCAATAAACTAAATTATAAAATAAACAATAATAGTATTTATTTACTCACGTCGTTCGTTTCTTCGTTATCCTTGGAAATATTTGATCTGGAGGATCGTGGTACTTCTTGGTCGGTGAGAAATTGTAGCAAATCGTAATACCATAACTTTGGTATATAAATATCATCCTTGCCAGATCCTGATCTTTGTGACGATTTGACTTTCAAAACTTCTGTTTTGAACGTGCAACGCAATGTGTTAATTTTATTTTTCACTGTATCTATAGTTGCCGTAGAGTCAATTTCTTTAATTTTTTCTAATAATACCTTGTAAGCTGCTGATTTCCTTTCTCGGTCATGGTACTCCTTACTTTTATTCTGCCATAAGCAAGGTTCATTCCTATATAATTCTATAAACTCGGCCAACCACAGTCTTTGCGTCATTTTTCTGCGTATGCGAAGAGAATAAACATGTACAGACCAGTTTCTTTTTCGTGATCGCAGCACGACTGAAGAAACACCGCCTACACACGTACAGTTTTAACTGATCAGTTCCGTCATTTCAGTTAAAAAATATGTATCAACAATATATCATCAGTTTTAACTGATAATAAAAAAACTGACAGTTTTCATCGTACACACACTCAGTTTTCACTGTCAGTTAAAACTAATCAGTCAAAACTGACAGTTAAAAGTGATCGTGTGTAGCCCCTATAAGTATCCTAACTTTATTGAACGTTCAGTAGTCTGTAAAAGGTGAATGAAAAGGAAAAAAAATAATTACCTTAATATAGGAAATAATTTTCCTGTTAAACTTAACAAATAATTATTTAAAACAATTTGGTGGTTGATAATGTTCACAGGGCGGCCTGCCCTTTTTGAAAGGGTGTTTGTAGCGGAAGCCGTAAACTTTGCGCGAAAGAAATTGTGCAGATTTGTCACATAATTCTTGTAGTAAATTTAACCAAACTATGTAATGGCTGTTTAAGAATATCCCTAAACATACCTAGTCAGGTCATAAGTATTGTCACACAGTAAGAACTTTTCTTTTAGAATGCTGTGTAGTGCTAGTGTAGATGACGGGTCAAGAAGTGGTCGCCCTCTGTCTGTTAGAACTCCAGCAGTGATAAAAGCTGTGAAAGCGCGAATTGAAGGAAATCCCAAACGTAAGCAGAAACTGTTGTCCCTTCACATGGGGTTAAGCAGAACCACAGTGAAAAGGATGTTAAATGAAAAAGGGCTTCGGGCATATCCAAGAAAAACAGGACATCGTTTGAATGCACGTCTAATGGACCTGAGACTGAAGAGATGCCGCGCTTTGTTGAAGCGGTACGCGGGAAAAATATATCGGGAAATTCTTTTGTCGGATGAAAAAATTTTTACCGTAGAAGAGAGCTACAACAGGTAGAGAGGTTTATACTATTTTACAGAAAATTTTCAGATCTAATTTACAATTTATCTAACTTGGGAATATTTGCAGCATTAATGTGGAAGCATTTCATACAACCGAAGCGCCGCCTTCTTATAACTAGCATCGATATATTTACTCCTTTTTTAATGTTAAATGCTATCGCTACATTTTACAAAGAGTTACAAGGACAGTGTACAGTTCCCGAAAATTGCCGCTATAGGGTTCATGAAATGAAACTCAGCTATCAATTAGCAGTAGGAGTCAAAAAGCATCGTATATTATGTAAAGAAACCTTATGTACTATTTGCAATAAACCTTTACAACACGATATAAATAACACAAGATTTGGACACAACGACATCTAGTAAAATAAAAATAAATTAGACATTGTAAACAAAGTAACTGACAGATTTCATACATCCTGCCCGCTATGGACGAAATGTCCATAAACTATACATAAACACATGACACATTTATGTACTATTAATAAAAAAATCTATAAAAGTTTTAACATAAAGCTGTAAATAATTAGCAAAATATATTTCATAACAATAAAACATTAAGTACTAAAATTTACAATGCTTGAGTATTTTATTCAAATTTAATACAAAAAAAACTTACACGAATGCATTTCATTTAGAAAATTATAACAAGCGGGATGCGGGAAGTAAAGACTGCGTAAGAACCTCCGAAGGAGCGGAGTTATAGCCGAAATAATAATTTGAATTTTTTTGGTTTTTGGCCATTTTGACCCCCTAGGATTGTAATGAAAACTTTTTTCCCCTATTCAACCATGATCACCATGACATCCTCTACATGATAGGCAATTCAAACGGACTAGGCCTAAAGTTCGAGTTACCCCCCTATCTCATTTCTAGTCTTTACTTCCAATTACAAACAAACGTCTTAAGAATAAATTATAATCAATCGATAATTGGGTAATTTATTAATAATTAGGGTGGATACCCTAATGAATAGCCTAGAAATATCCGAAACAACCTTTATCTTTGTAACAAGAGTTGTTATTTGTGGTAACTGAACACGGTAACAAAATTTTCTTTTTTTTTTTTTTTTTTTTTTTTTATAGGAGAGTGGGCAAACGAGCATGCGGCTCACCTGATGGTAAGTGACTACCGCCGCCCATGAACAACCGCAACACCAGGGGAATTGCAGATGCGTTGCCGGCCTTTTAAAAAGGAGTAGGCTCTTTTCTTGAAGGTCCCTAAGTCGTATCGGTCCGGAAAAATCGCTGATGGTAATCGATTCCACAAGGAAGTCGTGCGAGGAAGAAAACATCTTCTAAATCGCACAGTGGTGGACCGCCAATCATCCAGATGGTGTGGATGGTATCGGGAGTTCTGCCGCGATGTGCGTTCATGAAATTTGGCGGCTGGGATTAATCCGAACAATTCCTCAGAGCACTCCCCATGGTAGATGCGAAAGAAAATGCAAAGAGATGCAACATCTCTTCGCAGTGCCAATGAATCGAGCCGATCGGAAAGGGCTCGGTCGTCGACGATTCGAGCCGCTCTGCGCTGGATGCGGTCAAGTGGAAGGAGCTGGCACTGGGGAGCCCCTGCCCAGAGATGGGAACAGTATTCCATGTGAGGCCGAACCTGCGCCTTGTAAAGTTGCAGGCGGTGTGCCGGCATGAAATACTGTCCCGCTCTGCTGAGCACGCCAAGCTTTTTAGAGGCCAATTTGGCCTTCTCTTCCAAGTGACCACGAAACTGCACGTCACTCGATATGTCGACTCCGAGGATACCGATACTGGCTGAGGCAAGAAGAGGAGTGCCTTGAAACTGAGGAGATACGACAAAGGGGTTCTTTTTAGCGGTAAACGCGCAAACTTGTGTCTTCTGAGGATTAAACTGGACTAGATTTAGTCGCCCCCAATCCGAGACTTTGTCCAGCAAAGACTCGACTTCAGACACAAGTTTGTTCCGGTACTCGGCGACGTTTTCCCGAGAAATATTGGCCCGGCCGGTGTATAGAGCATCACCAGTGCTGTCATCCGCATAGCAATGAATGTTACCAGTTAGCAACATATCATTGATATGCAGAAGAAACAGCGTTGGTGATAGCACACAGCCTTGTGGAACACCAGCGTTAATAGGCTTGTAGTCAGAACATGCACCGTCTACAACTACATTATTCCAATATAACCCTAAAACCTACGTGAAACTTTCATTTTATTTTCCTAGAATTACTATTTTAGTTTTTTTCTAATAATTTTTTACTATGTCTTCCCAGTTTTGAAGTTGAACATAGAGGCCTTTAGTATAATTTCATTAAGATCTTGAAACTCAAACTAAACTCAAACAAAATAGTGGGTAACAAGCCTACATAGTTCAGACCTAGACTAAATCAGACCAGTCATAAAATGAATGAGTAATTAATTTGTTTATCTCGTGATAGCATCTGTAAGCTATTTGAGTGTGATTCTTGTTCAATTTTATCTATAAACATAAGTAAAACTGTGTATAAGACTTAAAGCAAACGATTTTCAAGTCGAACTATACCCAAATTGAGTTTTAAAAAGTGAAGTTGAAGTTTAATTGTTAATTTTTTTCTCAAGAGGTTAAAATTATTTAAACAACCAACACAAACACGTTTTCTTTTACATTGTTTTTAGAAACCCTGCTAATGAAAAAGGGTTTTACTATAGGTTCGCAATTATTTTAATTAAACTTTACATGTGAAATTGTGTCAGAATGATGAATTGATGGGAAAACCGTAGAACATAGCACCCGTTAAAAAAGTTAATTAATTAATTAAACGATTTGGAATTGCGCTTCCAAAGTGTTTAAGCTTAGCTTTGTCTGCAGCGCTAAAGTGGCCACGGGTTCAAATTACGCAATCTAATATATTATGTGAATATTATTTAATTGTGGCTAAGGTATGGATTATTATCAATAGTAGTGGTGGTGTAAGAATATTCACTAACCCATGTGGTCTCGTGGGTGTCGCGGGCGGGGACAGAAGGAAACTGAACCAGGAGATGGGCAGGTCTGTCTTCCTAATAATAACAAAAAATTAAAAAAATGCGATTGCCAACTCGCTTCTGCCCAGCGTGGTAACTATAGCAAATATCCGCTCTATGTGGCAATCTATGGGGAAGCCTATGTTCAGCCGCGGTACTTTGCTATGCTGTAATGAATATAAATAATTTGTGTAAATCAACCACATCCATTAACACCACCAGACGAAACTGTGGGCAATCTAATTTCTTGCCCTTACGTGTTTTCTACGTGGTAGAGCCATATTGCAGCTATATTATGGTTATAGGACAAATGGGTCGGCTCGATTAGGGAAGGACCACGCCCTCACAGAATACCAGCGTAAAATAGCATAAATGATGTGAATAGCAGCAAATGATGTGGAGATTGTAACCTGAGACTCTTTTTACTGGATACGAGGCATTCCATCTTAGTACCCAGGGACGACGACGCATTTGAATTTTGATTCTTATTCGAGGATAGATGTAGCTTTCTATGGGACACAGCATTCACTTACTATCAGGTAGGCTATGTGCTCGCTTAAAGCCCTTATTCTATAAAAAATCTGAAAAAGCGGTTGACCCTGCAGGCCATATCTGGAACTTCCCGCTTATTTTCGAACGCAACGCTCGAAAATCTATTTAATTTTTGTTTTTTATTTTTTGAAAAACTTTGAAACAGCTCGACCGATTGAGTTGAAAACCTAATGACCTCGAAATATCAATGAACACTTTCGAACGTGTCGCGCATCTCGATCGGTAGATTCGTTCTAAAGCTAGAGTACAACAAAATTTTATTTACATACACACATGCACACACGCACACACACGCACACACACACACACACACACACACACACACACACACACACACACACACACGCACACTCGCACACTCGCTCGCACGCACGCACGCACGCACGCACGCACGCACGCACGCACGCACGCACGCACGCACGCACTCACGCACGCACGCATGCATTCACTCACGCACGCACGCAAAAACGCACGCACGCACGCACGAACGCACGCACG